GGAAGATAATTACTTCCGGGTTCACTGACGAACCGGATCGCAAGAACCGGTGCGAACCGGGAGGAACCCACCCCTGATGTGATTGCCATCTACGACTTATTTCTGACAAGCAAACTCAATCGGGGAAACCAAATTTGTTTAACTAAACTGCATGATTCACTTAACAACTGCAGTGCTCGGCTTAACAGCCATGGCAAAAAGGTTGTAAAGTTGGGTGGAACTCACTTGACTGCCTTGCTTAGCAACAGAAACCCTGATCTCAATTGTACTACAATTGTAGTCATTGTTGGAAGAAAACTCCAGGTCCAATTCCAAGCTGGGAATAAAATGGAGGCTGCTTAAGAAAGAAAAGTCTGTTTATTGGTGAACAGAACCAACACGCACACAGTGTGCAGTTATGGAACAGCTGACAAAATGGAGTTGAGAGTGGGTGGGTTTTACCTTCTGGATTCCTATGGAGTCATGTAGGGGTGATGGCTAGCTTTAGGCAAAAGGAGAAGTACAAATCCTAGGTGTTTGAGCTAATCTTGACAACCTTTGGCTTGTTGCTTATCTAATGTTTCAGTCTGACCCAGTCTTTCTGAATGGATTACCAAATCTGCAATTCTAAAAGCTGGCCTCCTTAGTGTCTGCTTGGGCCAGAAAGACTGGGGCTGGTTTCTGCCTCCCTTAAGATTTTCCCCCATTTCCCCTTTAGGGAAAATATTGTATAGATGTATAGATTTCAATCTGTAGAATTCTCCAATGACACATCTTATAGTTGCAAAGATTGAAAAACACTGCCATAATCTAATGGGGAGGGCATTTGATGGCTGAGGACTTCTCATCCCCCATTGAAATTCCACGTATTTCTGCTAATGCAGTAACCCCTAAGCAGGATGGTGCAGTAAAATATCCTAATGAATAGGAAAAAGAAGGGGCAATATTTGTATTCCAACAGAGCACCCAGAGGGAAAAATGAAGCTGTTGGGGAGTACAGTAAGATGTATGTAGTGGAAAGTAGTGGAAAAAAGACATGCTTATGGAAGGCATGGGACTAGCTGGATCTAATACTCCAGTTTGAGGCACATGATCAATAACATTGGATTTAAAAATTAAGCTAGCAAGTGCCCAAAGATATCCATTTTGCAATACAACTAGGCGATTATGTTCCATTTTTTATTTTATCTATTATGTTATTAGTGGATATACCTTGCTGAAGGTAGATGCACACAGAGGCCAAATTCAGAACTCTTAGCAGTTTTGAATGTCCTATAGCAATGTTTTTCAACTTTGGGAAGTTTCAGATATGTGGATTTCAGCTCTCAACTCCCCAGCCAACTCCTGCATGCTGCGTAATGTTGGGTATTGAGGTCCATATACTTCCCAAAGGTTGAAAAACGCTGCCCTATAGAATTGCCATAATCTTTCTTTTATAGAATAACATGAGTTGGAAGGGACCTTGGAGGTCTTCTAGTCCAACCCCCTGCTCAAGCAAGAGACCCTTAGAATATAGCACTACAAACAAGTGGCTGTCCAGTCTCTTCTTAAAAACCACCGGTGATGAAGCACCATAATTTTGAGAAATAAGTTGTTCAACTGGTTTATTGCCCTCACAGTTAGAAAATTTCTCCTTAATTCCAGGTTGCTTCTCTCCTTGATTAGTTTCCATTCATTGCTTCTTGTCCTGCCTTCAGATGCTTTGGAAAATAGGTGGAACACCACCACCCCCTTCTTTGTAGCAGCCTCTTAGATATGGGAGCATACTGCTATCATTTTCTTGCCAAAGTCTTGCTCAAATGCCCCAAAATGACTAACTGCATTTTTTTCATTTTGGTAAAATAAAAATATAAATACGGATTCTGCATTCCTTGTCCACCTCCACTTGGATATTAATACAATTGCACAAGGGCTGGGTTTAACATATTTAATACTTTTCTCAAGAAAAAATGATAAAAGGGGGGAAAACATATTCTTTTAAAGACAAGTTTTATTGTAATTTTTTCCATTATACATATTTATGGACAGTGTGTGGATCAGGTGACATCTTATGCATCATATTTATAATAATAGTTTCAATATGTATTCTAATCATCTCACTTTTATCAATATTCATCTCTTGTATAATCCTTTATCTTTTTCCATTAATTCATTTAATCTTACATATCATTACTAAATATCCTTTTGTCTTCAACAAATTACTTTTAATTAATCTTTACAAATTAACCATTTTTAACCATAGCTTTGCTATTCCAACTTCCACAGTATTCTTCTCTTCATTTCTTATTCAATTTTTACACAGTTAACATCACTGTACGCCCTGTATTCCACCTTTTTTACAGTTTTTCCAGTTATTTACCCAGGAGAGGTATAATTATAGGGTAAATATTAGTACATATATATATCATGAGTTAGATCAGTAGATGGGAATGTGAAATTAGATAATTAAATACTATTAATTTTGAGTGTAATTTAAACAACGTTGGGAATTTAAAATGTTAATGATTGGGGAAGGGGAATTCGTGAGATATTTTCTGGGAAGAAAAAATAGGGTAAATAACTGGAACGAAAACATTTTGATTGTATTTCTGTAGTCTTGCAAATCCAAGAAACTCCTCCACGGGGAGGGCGATTCCGTATAAGAAAGACGATTGGACCATTGGTCCGGAGAGTCGCCGGTCCAAGCTATTGACCAATGGAGACGAAAAGGGGCGGCTCCCTAAGGCTGGACGCCAGCTGTGACTGGCTGGGGAGGAGGGGAGGAGCCAAAGGCCGAGCAAGAGCGCGAAGACTCAAACGCAGCCGCTTTCCCTGAGCTTTTGGCGCTTTCCGGGTCGCTCATCTTAGTCAAGGCGGGAGGCGGCTGTCATGACTGCAGCGGCGGCGGCAGTGGTGAGTCTGGCGCGGGTCTGGGACGAGTTATCCGCTAACCGGCGGATGAGAAGCTGCCTCAGCTGTCGTTTGGGGAGGTGGGGAGGGGTGAGGTCTTCCCTCGTAGACATTTCAGAGACCCGGGACTACGACTCCCGGCATGCGCTGCGGCTCCTCTTCAACATCCCGGCATGCCAAGGGCGCCCCGCTTAGATGTGCTGCCTATCCTGGCGATGTTTCCAAAGTGGCTACGCGTGCTGCGAACAGATGGGGACAGCGTCCCCAGACGACCCCTAGGTGGCAGCAGAGACCCAACTCGCCAATGCCATCTAGGCTTTGTTCGGGTTTTTTTGAGTTCTGATGCAGCAAACCTGATTTCTTGCATCCCGGGTTGGAGAAAACGGGGATGAAGGTGTGCGTGTGAGTGTGTGTGTTTACGTGTTGGGGGAAAAAAGAACAAGTTTCAAGGTTCAGATTCACAGGTTTTATATATACTGCACGAAGTCGGAAAATGCTGCCTTAGCAAGTGGGGTGAATTAGCAATGGCGAATTGGAAGGCAGGTTAGATCACCTAACTACAAAGACAACAAAGTAAGGCTTAGAAAATAGACCAGGATGAAAAAAAGTATTAACTAGCATGATCGTGAGCATGGGTCCCTGATGGGTGGGGACCGTAAATTCTGAGATCTTGATAGCAATGGCACTTAGACCACTTCATAGTGCTTTATAGCCCTCTCTAAAGGATTTACAGAGTTAGCCTATTGGGTGTTTGGGGGGCCGTTTTCAGGCTGTTTGGGAGCTGTTTTTCAGGCCAAAAAAAGAGAATCATTTTTTGGGCCAAATAAAACGTCCATAAATGTCCGAAAACCAGCCTGAAAATGACTCAAAACCCAGCCTGGAAATGGTCTGGAAAATGGCCCAGAAACGCCCCAGAAAATGGCCTGCTTTTCGGCCATTTTTCAAACTATTTTCAGGTCATTTTCCAATGCTCCAGCTTCCACTAAGACCAGCGGAAACCAAAAGAGCAGCTGGGGATGGCGCATGTGCCGACACAGAGGGCTCTGCATGCCATCTCTTGGCACGTATGCCATAGACCTAGCCTAGCCTGTGATTAGTCTTGTGACAATTGAGATTTTGGCAAGATGTAGGGATATGATAGAGTATAATTTTAAATAAATCCAACCCTTATCCTGGCTTTGACAGCTGCCATTAAAAAACAACGGCCAGAGAATAGAAAAGCTATAGATGTTGCTTCAATCTCCAAACGGGTTCTTATATTTTACTTTTCTTAGCATAATGTGTGCCCCCAGTATTATGATATATGAACCATGTTTCAAGGTGTACTGTAGTATGTGAATCCAATTAACTTGTCAAAAGTGAAGCATAATGCAATCCTCTTGCTAAAAATTGGAAAAATGAGATAATACCAACACAGGAGGAAGTTATTTACAAAATAATGGAATGTGCAGAAATGAGTAAATTGACGTTTGAAATTAGAGAACAAGAAGATGAACAATTTTATAAGACATGGGATTTATTTTATCAATGGTTACATTAAAAAAACATGGAAATGAAAGATACTAGAGAATGTTACCAATACAAAAATAATAGAATGACATTGAATATACTATAAAGATACATTATTATTGGATAGATTGAAGGATGTAATGAATTGTTATAATATAAATGATCCCAATATTTAGTATAGTTCGTTGAAAGTGAAGGAATAAATAGTGATAGTCAAATAAGGTACAATGATAATAATGTATATAAATATATTGGATTTGATAATATGTGAATTCATATAAATTGCAAGTGATGACTGAAAAGGATGCACAAACACCTTGTAACCAATTGACACACATTATGTGGTGAAAGAGGGTTTTATGTATTATGTCTTGTTTGTTTATGTTTGTCTAAAAATTAAAAAAAAAATCTACCCAAAAAAAGCATAATGCAATCTATGTACTGAATCAACCTTCTTGAATCTGACAAGAAATGAATAATGGCATATTTGCCTTCCTTTTTTAAATACTGGATATGACATGTGCTTATCTTCCCATACTTACCAATGTTCCTGAACTGTAGTTCCATTTGGATGCCCAGGATGTGAAAACTCAAGATACCTCTGACAGCGATTCAGACAGTGGGCAAGGCAGCTGTGAAATGAGCTTCCGGTCCCAGATAAGCAAGGGAGTTGCATCCGTTGACGAAGGAGGTATGTATCTCTTGGGTACAATTTCACTACAACAGGGGGTCCCCAACCCCTGGTCCAAGACCCACTTTT